CTTTACAAACACTTTTCAGTTTTCTGCCTGTCTGTTTCTTCTTTTTCTACCCTCCCCCCCTCCCTCCTCTCTCTCTCTCTCTCCCTCTCCTCCCTCTTCTCTCTCTCTCTCTCTCCCTCTCTCCTCTCCCTCCTCTTCTCTCTCTCTCTCCTCTCCCTCCCTCTTTCTCTCTCTCTCTCTCTCTCCCTCTCCCTCCCTCTCTCTGTCTTCTCTCTCTCTCTCTCTTTCTCTCTATATATGTCCTTTTTTGTATGCGTATTTAAAGTGTAGACATTTGTTTTTGTTTCTTTATTTTTACTTTTTGGATATTTCCTTTATTGATATACGATTATTGTATTTGCATATTTGTGCGTATGTGTGCGTGTGCATTACACCGGAATGATTGATGGATTGGTAATGAAACAAGCAAGCACATCATTAAACATTCAAGTTACAAACGCTGTAAGACAATAATGGTCCCAACTTTATACATCTCAGTCATTATAAGCTACTTTTGAAGTCATCTTAAATAATATATGAATGTCAAGAAAAGAAAACGAGAAACGCGCCACTATCAATTACGGACCTAAAATGGATCCAGAAAACAAGAATCGAATTCCAATCTTTGGTGACGTAAGCGACCAAACTTTCAGCCTTCGCGACCAAATCTTCCGCCAAAACTATCAGAGAAAAGCACGCCATCGCCCAACAGATCAAAAACATCTGCATGGAATCAGCATAAACAAGCAATTAAGCAATTATCCAAACACGGATAACCGGTATCCAATTGGTCCCAGCTGACATGCCACATCACATCATGTCGTTTCATATCACGGCCGGAACACGCGAAGTACCTCGACAACAACACCGTAACGACTCTGTGCATGTTTGTTTACATCCCCCCCCCCCGTCTGTATTGTAATGGCGGGCGGTGTATAGGCGTTTGTGGTGTATGTTATTGGTTACATGCTTATTCGTTTATTTATTTATTTTTTTGAAAGATGATGGTGGGGGGGGGGGGTGATATTACTCAAGTATATACCTATATAGATTTTGGGAGGTGAGCCTTCTTTCTTTGAGAGATTCTTTGTCAGTGCTTCAGCATATCTGAAGAATTTTTGTCTCTCCTACCACAGACACACACACACACACACACACACACACACACACACACACACACACACACACACACACACACACACACACACACACACACACACACACACACACACACATACACACATACACACACACACACACACACTCATATATATATATATATATATATATATATATATATATATATATACATATATATGTATATAAGTATATATATGAATATATATATATGAATATATATATACATATATATATATATATATATATATATATATATATATATATATATATATATGTGAATATATGTACACACACACGCACACACACACATGGGGTGTGTAATTATGAAGATATAGATAAATAAATGTATATCTACCTGTTAAAATATCTATCTTTATACATATATGTATGTATGTATAATTCTGTTTCATAGGCATAGTCTGACTTCCTCCCTACGCCCTGCCAAGGCCTACTCGGAGCCCGTGACTGACCAGAGCCAATCTCCTCTCTGTCGTCCCGAACAATACCTGTGGTCGTGTAGGCCTAATTGAAAAAAATCACAGGCGCCCTCCGCAGCGTTCCCTGGAGACCCGAAACCCAGAGTGCCAGTCGGGGCGAGAGGCACTCCTCGCAAGACGGCGGGGAATGGAAGTGCTCGTCTTTGATATCAAGTCAGATTAAATTCCTTAATCTAAATGCCACATTGATACAAGGAATCAATTATCTTCGAAGGCAGGTGCTCGGTCAGACGGACGAGGAGAGGTGGGTGGTCGGCAGTGCGTGGGCGGGGCGAGGGCGGGGCCAAGGCGGGGAGTGGGCGGAGCTAATGAAGGGCCATTGCTGATTGGCTGGAGGCGATGGTCATCAATCACCCGCTAATGGACGCGGCGCCGCTGACACTCGGACGCGCTGTTCCGCCCACCGCACGCCCGCCCCGCTGCCGCAGCCCATTGGCCCGCGTCCGCAGCCACCTGCACTCAACCGCCTCATGTAACCGCAACCGCAGCCAATAACCACCGCAGGGAACATCTCCCATTAGATGTAACAAACAAAACAATCTGGCGCTCCGTCACTTCCTGCGGCCGGAAGCGCTTCCGAGGCGAAGAGTGCCGCAAGTGCTTGCGGGAGGCTGCGTAGGAGCGTAGACCGTCACTATCGCTAAATAACGTGCGACAGCGTTATTAAAAGGCTGCATAGCAGCCTGCAGCGGGCAGCAGCATTAACGTCTGCCACCGCCGATCTCTGGAAGCCTCGCTCGCAGCGGCGGCGAGGGCCGTGCAGGAAGCCCTGAGCGCTCCAGCCTCGTCCGCAGCCGTCGTCCCTGCCACGTCTGCGAGAGGAGTCTTCGGGAGCTCGAGCAGGGAAACCCGCCGCAGAGTGGCTGCCGAGCGCATTTATCGAGTGCGTCCCGCGTGTGGGCGCCTTGTGGGCGCGCGCTCGCCGCGGGTGACTCCGCCCCCTCTGCAGGTCGGAGCGGGCCCGCCGCCTGCACTCAGTTGATGCCCTGCAATTACGGTGTGTCGGCGCGACCCGCGAAACGGAGAGTGTCGGACGCGGAGCCCGACTCCCCTGTGGCACGTGATCTCCCGGACTCCTGGCACCCCCCCCCCCTCCCGCCACGCGCGACGCCACACCTCCTCCGCCGCAGCGATCTCGGCTCCCAGCCCGGCAGCGGCCGCGACAGAGTGCGAAGGGCGCCGATCGCCAGGTGGGCGGGGCGGCGAGTGCCAGGGCACGGAGCGAGTGCGAGTTGCGCGCGAGTGAGCAGTGCAAGTGGGAATTGCTAAAGAAAGGTCATGATGGAGGTACCGAACCTGGTCGGGGGCGGCCCCCCCTGCAGCACCAGCGTCGGGGGCATCAACACGGCCACCATCTCCAGCAGCATCTCCAGCAGCGGGGGCATGACGAGCGGGGGGCGCACCGCCCCCTCCGTCTTCTCCATCTCCGCTCTCGTCAACAGCAGCTCTCCTCCCGCGTCCACGCCAGGTCAGTCACGGCTTCCGAGGGGGGCTGGGGGGGGGGGCAAACATTCATTTGCTGGTATATATAGATATGTATATATATGTATATTTGTGTGTGTGTGTGTATTTATGTATGTATACAGATAGATAGATAAAAATATATAGATTGTTAGATTGTGCATAAGATAAACAATATATATAATGAACATGTACGTTTAGATGGAAACGTTAATTTTCAAACATCGAAATTTAATACATAGACATATACATATATACGTATATAATACATACATACATACATACATACATACATATATACGTACATACAAACATACATACATGCATACATATATACATACATACATACATCTATCCATCCATCCATTCATCCATCCATCCATACATATATACATACATACATATATACATACATATATAGAAATACACACACACACACACGTATGTTTGTGCATGTGCATAGATAAGAAAGGTATATAGGTACTAATGCAAACAGAAATACAAAGATACTACAGCAGGTGGAACATACAAAGAGAAAGAAAGAAGAAAAGAAGTCAAAAGATAATCTTAGACACAGGAAAAGCTCAAGAAAAATACGCACCTATTTATGTAATTATCAACATAACATCATGATGATTATGATAATTATGTTGATCACCATTCTGTTAATAATGCTGACGGTAATGCTAATGATATGATGATAGGTAAGATAATAAAGATGAAATTGATGGTTTTCATTGGCGTTAGAAATTAGAATAATTAAAATATTAGAATAATGAATATTAAAGATTATGATGATGATGATAACATTAATAACAGTAAAAAAAACAACAATGATAAGGATGATGATACAAATAATAATGATGGTGATAGTAATGTCATTGACAATATTGATAATGGGTGTGATGATAATGATAAGATGGTAATGATAATGATAATGATAATGATAACAATGATGATATTATTAATGATAACAGTAATGATCATCGGCGATAATGATAATGAGTATATGATTATAATGATAATCATTGTTGTTGTAATGGAAATAATAATTTTAATAATATTACTTGCAATGAAATTAATGGTAGTAGTGATAATAATAATAATAATAATAATATTAATAATAATAATAATAATAATAATAATAATAATAATAATAATAATAATAATAATAATAACAATAATAATAATAATAAAGGTAATAATAATAATAAAGGTAATAATAATAGGAACAATAACAATAATAACAATAATAATAATAATGATAATAATAATAATAATAATAAAATAATAATAATAATAAAATAATAATAAAATAATAATAATAATAAAATAATAATGATAATAATAATAAAAATTGTAATAATAATAATGATAAAAATAATGATAATAGTAATAATAATAATAATAATAATAATGATAATAATAATAATAATAATAAAATAATAATAATAATAATAATAATAATAATAATAATAATGATAATGATAATGATAATGATAATAATAATAATGATAATGATAATAATAATCATAATAATAATGATAATATGATTTTAGCAATGGTGATATTGATAATGATATTAATAATAATAATATTAATAATAATGATGTTGAATATATATGATAATGATAATGCTGGGGATGACAATAATAATTAAATCAATAGCTAGGATTCTAATGATAATGATAGTGACAATAAGAATATTATAGAGATAATGATAATGATAACAATAATCATAACAAGGATAATGATATTAGTAATGATAATAATAATATGAAAATATGATATTATTGATAATAATGTTGACGATAAGGATTATTAAGAACGATAATGATAATGAAGATAATAATAATATGGTAAGAATGATAACGATAATAGTAATACTGATAATAATAATGATGATGATAATGACAATAATAA